CTGCGCACGCATTCCGCGTCAACTCCTAACCGCCAGACCCCGAACCTTCAAACGAGAACCCTTCTGCTACGCATTCGGGAATTAGTTTGTATACCATACTGTACTACACTATGCCTTGCTATCTAGACAACAGAATAGAAAACGACAGCCTGTGTAATGTATAATTACATAGATCCCTTTCTGTCACGACTGCAGGAGGTCCGGTCCCAGCTTATAGCGGCCCCGGAATGTGCATGCTCCGTGGGCATCCCATGCTACCTGCCGTCCGCGCGGCGAAAAAGACGAGTTTTCAGGTTTTGGGTCTAGGATTTAGGGTTCAGGGTTTTGTATTCTATGACACATGCAATATGCTGCACATTTCCGAATCGAGTATTTATCAATGTCGAGAAATTGCCACAGAGTCTGCAGGTGCGGCATTCAATGTCGGAGCCTCGACAGCTAATATAGGCGCCGGGATTTTAGAAGATTGCATTTCAGGTAGATCATGGTATAATTTAAAGTCACTCTAGAAGGGATACGTGTTGCCAGCTACTCCGACCCCGATGCTATACTGGACAGCTGTATTGCATCGCTACGGCTACGGTCTGTACAGCTGATAGGTTGCGGATCCTGCAGCTATATCAGATATACCATCAGTCTTATGATTTCTGCTGTGCGGCACTGGCCCTCATGACCAAAGCCTTACAGCGAACCCCGGAAAGTTGGAACATGGGCTTCGGATGATTAGCGTGAAGGTCCATTATACTGCACCTTAGAAGGGCAGGAGGATTGCTCTTTTCCAAGTTTATGGCTAGTACTGGAGACCCTAGACTGACAGGATCTGACTAGATCCTACTGTTGATGATATAAATCCTGCAGTATATTAAGGACCCTGATCTATGGGAACTATGGTATATTCCTTATTTTGGGTAATGCGGGATTTCTATCATCAACCGTAGCTCAACACCTTGATCCCAAAACCCCAAACCCTTTCTCAGAGTTTCAAGATGCATGATTCTTTCTGTGCAGGCACTTCTCGATTTCTACGGCCTCCAAGCAGATTTTCAGCAAGTGCATGGGGCTCAGAGCTTCATGGTCTTCATAAAACGAGAAGAGGGGCGAAACCCAAATCTGACTTCGCTTGCCGCTAACTATGTTCCAGGGTCCATGGCATCAGCATCTACATTGACCTCAAGCACTGCAAGAACTGTTGTTTCATGAAGCCAAAGACTGTAACTCCTTCTGGCAGTTACCTGTGTTCGCATGGTGCTCGCCGAGCTCAACAGCAGATTGAAAATGGTTGCCTCCAGCTAAGGTCTGCACGTCTGCATCGTCCATAAGTGATTACGACCGGCACCCCGCACCTCTTGAGTCTCTAGACCTGCAGCCTCAGCTTCAAAAACTCCTAAGCACTGAACTCCATATTCCCAGGCCCTAAATGCCACACACCCTACACCCCTAAACCCTAGACCCTAAGCCCTCAACCCTAGACCCAAAACCCAAGCTTAAAGGTCTGACTTCCTGATCCATGTGGCCCAGACTCGCGGCAAGCTGAAGCGCAACTCGGGCTGGGTGCCCGAGAACTTCCGACTTGCGGCCATCCCACTCCCCCAAGAAGAGCCATGACAGACCTACTTTGCACTACAGCTTCGTTCTACCCATAGGCCCCATAGTAGTTCCTTTTGGGGATTACCTTATAGGAATCTAAATATGAACCCCAGAAAGGAACTACTATGGGGCCTATGGGCAGAGTGTAGTAACGTCGTAGTAGTCGTACAGCAGTAGCTGTCGAAGTACTCGTCACTGCAACTACGACGACGATGTGACCCTAAACTCTTCGCGCTTTGAGCCAGAGTTCCCACCTCTGCGCGAATCAGCGGTAGACCCAGAGACTCCAAAACCCCTTAATTAAGGAATATACCTTAAATTATACTAGGATCCCTGATATGATTTAAGACATATTCCTTAATTAAGAGGTTTTGGAGTCTTTGGGGAGTTGCAAAGTCACAAGACTATTCCGGAAAACATCAGGCCGTGAACAAAACCGTTCGTTACCCTCAGGAGTTTAAACAGTTTAATCTGTAGGTTCGAAACTATCGTAGCCTAAACCCTAAGCCCTAAACCCTAAACCCCTAAACCCTAAACCCTAAACCCTAAACACTAAACCCTGAACCCTGAACCCTGAACCCTGAACCCTGAACCCTGAACCCCAAACCCCGTATATTGCCTGTGGGGTACTGCGGCCGCATTTTGTAAATCGTCAGTAGCTAGCAGCTTCGACGCCCAACGGCCCTACCAAAAGTGCAGGTCTTGGGTGGCCTTCAGGTTTACCCATAGGCCCTAAAGTAGTTCCTTTTGGGGGTTCATACATAGAATCCTATGAGGTAACCCCAAAAAGGAACTACTATGGGGCCTCTGGGTATAGGTTTGAAGCTGTAGGGTTTAATATAGGGGCCTTACTATATAGATAGACTAGGGTTTGGGTATTTTTGCACTATAATCATAAACCCTAAACCCTAAGCCCTAAACCCTAAACCCTAAACCCTAAACCCTAAACCGTGGCATCCTGTCAAGCGTGAACCCGAGGCCGGGCCCGGTTTGGGTTTAGGGCTTAGGGTTTAGGGTTTAGGGTTTAGGGGTTTAGGGTTTAGGGTTTAGGGTTTAGGGTTTAGAGTTTCAAACCGGAGGATGCCGTTCACTCTCCCTCCCTCAGAGGTGCTGCGCACTTGAGAGTTTCCGAAAATTAGGGGTACCTTATTTTGGGTTTAGGGTTTAGGGTTGAGGGTTTAGGGTTTAGTACCTTATTTTGGGGGTCCTTATACAAAGGATCCTACTATTTAGGGTCCTATATTAGGGCCCCCTATTCTCGGAAACCCCCACTTGTCTGAAGACTGCTTACATGGTTTAGGGTTTAGGGTCTAGGATCTAGGAGGTAGAGGGAGGGGGCGGGGATTGTTCAGTAGTCTGGCATCCATACAGACCCCTAGAATATGCAAAAGCCCTAAGCAACGATGAAGCCTTGTACGAAAAGCCCTACGAAGCCTTTAGAAGGACCCTAAAACTTCGAAAGAACTCCAAAAGGACATGACCAAAAAAACGCACGAAAAAACTCAGAAGGACTTATAGCCCTCTAACTTCCTATAAGCCTAGGGTAGGAGCCTTGATAATTACCGATACTATTATGTGGGGTTCCTTATTATAAGTATAGGGT